GCAAGGAAAGCATAAATCAGGAGACTTCTCTTACTATGAAGGCCCAAGGAAGGTTTCCCTGAGGAATCAACATCTAAATAGAGCCATAAGCCAGTTGAGCATCATCTCATCCAGCAAAAGGTGTAGTTGGTTCTTGGTCAGGGCACAAGCCCAGGTTTCAGGTTTGATCCCTGGCCGGGTGCATGCAGGAGGCAACTGATCGATGCTTCTCTCTGACATTGATGTTTCTCTCTCCCTCTCCCTTCCTCTCTCTCTCTAAAATCAATAAAAACATTTTTTAAAAATGAGTAGAAATTAATTAGGCAAAGAAGTATAGGAAAAGGTTCTAGTCATAGGAGCAAAGGTCATGGAAAAAAAAACATTAAAATGTAAAGTGGAATTAGAAAATATTTAAATAAACTTTCAAAAATGTTTAATATATAACATTTAGATTTAACCCACACTACTTGCCATTTCTAAGCCTCACTCTTATAGGCTCAATGATGGCTTGGAATTTTGTTTTGTTTTGTTTTGTTTTGTTTTGTTTTGTTTCCTTAATTCCAGCCCTCATTGTATTATTTTCTACTTATGTACCAATGCTTAAATAACAAAAGAGATAAATGTCCTTGCAGAAACAATGGTTTGGAACACAGAATAAAATTCTGAATAATCCTGGGTATATTGTTAGGTGCTACATTTTCAGGAATGTTATAGCTCTATAGAATATTTTCCACTTAAACATATGTGAAAAAGCCTCTATCCCTATCTTTAAAAAAAAAAAAAAAGAAAGAAAAAGCTCAGTGCTTTGAGTTATATATTTACAATTATAAGACTCCTTTTATAATGACAAAATGCATCAAATATAAATAGCATAATTCACTTTTTGAAGTTGCTCCACTAATTATCTTTATCCTATGGACCAGTAGTTTTTGTAAGAGAATCATGGTACATTTATCTACCAGGATATGGTTTAAATACATTATAAATGCTTAACACAGGCTTTTCCTTCTCATAGCACATTGAGGTGCTAGATCATTAATCTGAAATGTTTAACCCTGCCCCAGACACACGTAATTTTAAAATCATTTTATGTCAACATATATTACTTATTTTCTTGAATTCTGGGTCCATTAAAATTGCCTTGACTTGCAAATTAGCTTCATACAAATGCATATTAAAGTGTTATGCAAACTTCTCTATTCCTACTCTTCTGAAAATGCAAATGCCTACTATTTTACTATAGGTTATATGTAATATATTACAAAGTATTATTTTAAACTCTACCTTCACTTTACTTATAAAAATATCTCCTTCAGAGAAGTTTATTTTATTTAGCAAACCAGTTTAAAAATTATTTTCTTGGAACTTCTTTAGCTTATTTCAAAGGACCTCCTAAACAACCTAAGAATGGCCTGTTATTCCACTATGCCATAAAACATGATTCTGATATCTTATAACTAAACAACTACCTTAAATTGCTCAAATTATATAATTGGTAGAATTAACAATGTATTATTTCTACTATTATTATTCAAAGAGCAAAATTATCAAAATTCATTTTTAAATAGCTGCATGATGTAATGGTTCAAATGTACAGGGTTTGAGGGTGCATAAAGAGACTTTATAACAAACATTAAACTTTTAATGTTTCCATGTATGCTCCTTTGATTTAGAAGGAATAAAATCTCAGTGAGAAAAAAATAACTCTAGGTTATAGACACATTGTACACAGTTCTTTCCAGAAACAAGTTTGATTAGAAATCAAACTTATTTTTTGTCCAAATACTGTGAAGAATATATCTTGCAACACTCTGTTTGCTTTGGTAATTACTTTAGACATATTTAATGAGGCAAATTTTCTCATTAACACATCAAAAACACAACGAAAAACAGCAGAGATTTAAAATGAAATAAAAACTCCATTGATGATTTTTCACCTTTAAAGTTCCTTTCACAGTGAATGAATTTAAAATTTTTTCACAACTGAACTGTTGATTTATTATATGCCTATATGGAAATGATTTTCACTTCATCTTGAATACATGATATGTATTTATTTAAATAGTTTATTATCAAAGTGAGAAAACAAAGCCCTCCAGGGTGTACAGAAATTATGTCAAAGGAATAAAATGCACTGGTATCTTAGGCTACCAAAATGAAATCACATTACTAAAAAAAAAAAAAGCTTGATCAGAATATATAATTGATGTTTACATATAGTGGCTCATTCAAAAACATTTTTAAATCTAGGTGATTTTTTAAAATTAATTTTTAAAGAATAAACCATTTGAATGTTTAAGTTAATTGACTATTAACAAAAGTTTTCACAACAAAGCTTACAGGTTATTTTTAATTAAAAGGATAAGTATATTAGAATACTCATTATATGTCTACTTAAAATGACTAAAGAAATGCTTGAATCTAGATAACATGAAATATGTTAAAATAAATTTCTCAGGAAAAGAAAAATTTTAGATTAGTCAATGAGTGCATAAAAAAAAGCTGTGGTACTACTCAGCTGTAAAAAAAAAGAAAGAAAAGAAACCTTACCTTTTGCAGCAGCATGGATAGACCTGGAGAGTATTATGCTAAGTGAAATATGCCACTCAGAGAAAGACAAGTACCATGTGATCTATTATATGTGGAATCTAATGAACAAAATAAACTGATGAGTTAAATAGAAATAGAGGTATGGATACATGGAACAGACTGACAGCTGTCAGAGGGGAGGGGCATTGGGGGCTGGATTAAAGAGGTAAAGGGGTTAAGCAAAACAAACAAACAAAAAAACACACAGACAAGAGTGTGGTGATAGCTAGAGGGAAAGAGTAGGGTGGTGGGGGTAGGTGGAGGTAGGCAAAGGAGGGGAAAATGGAAATGGAAAGACACTATGACTGGGACTATGGACACATGATGCAGTGTGTAGATGATGTTTTATTGAGTTGTACACTTGAAACCTGTACCCTAATAAATTCAATAAAAATTAATAGATAGCTTAAAAATATATTAGTCAAGTGAAGATCACTTTAAAACATTAAATTATATTCCTTTTGTATTCCATTCCTTCATAAGCCAGACCATAGTGAAAATAGGTGCCTATTTAAAATGTTATATCTAAGTCACTTATACTTTAATAATCACTTAGCCTAACAGTTTGGATTGATTAAATTCTATAATATGCCCTGGCCAGTGTGGTTCAGTTGGTTGAGTGTTGTCCTTTGCATCCAAAGGTCACTGGTTCAATTCCCAGCCAGGGCACATACCCGGGTTCCCATTCCAACTCTAGTCAATGTGCATGCAGGAGGCAGCCAATCAATGTTTGTCTCTCACATTGATGCTTCTCTCTCTCTCTCTCTCTCTCTCTCTCTCTCTCTCCCCCCACCCGCTCTCTCTTGCTCTCTAAAATCAATAAAAATATATTTTAAATTTCATAATATATTCTACATTGTGTACTTACAGAAAGAGGAAACCTGCTACCATTATATAAAACATTATATTCTGTATCTTAACTGTTATATATACTTCCATATTTCTGTATCAAATTTTTAATATAATGTAAACAGCAAGTGGATAGTCACAAAGGCCATTAAGAAGCACTGAGAGAGGGAGAAAATAAGTGCATTTAAAAATGTAATATGCTCTAATAAACTTTAGTGAGTATATGTGAAACACTGTGTGTCCAGCACTGTTCTGGGCACTTTGAGAAGTTTACATACATACAAGCATACACACACATGCAGAAGAAAGTAAATTAATCCACATGAAACAACTGCAGAACAAAAGATGATCAATTTTGAAATAACAAAAATTTCTAAATGGAAAACAGATTAGTGGTTGCCTAGGGTTAGGGACAAGAAGGAGGTGGGTGTGCTTGTAAAAGGGCAACACAAAGAGGCATCCTTGTGATGAAAGAGTTTTTTATCTTGACTGTGGTGGTGATGGATACACACAGGATAAAACTGTATAACACACACACACAAATAAGTACAAGTAAAACAGGGGAAACCTGAATTAAGTCAATGAATTACCAATGTCAACATGCTGGTTGTGATATACCAGTTTTCAGGTACACGGGATCTTGTATTCTTTCTTACAACTACATGTGAATCCACAATTGCCCCTAAATAAAAGGCTTCTCATGATGCAGTAGTGATAAAATGCTAGTTTACTTTGAGTTCAAATGGTGATGGAATCATGCTCAATGAGGGAGGGAGGGAGGGACGGAGGGACGGAGAGAGAGAGATACCATTATCTCTTTGTTAATAGATAAGAAGCAAATCACACACACACGTCCTCTCTACTACAGTCTGCCTGAGTTCGGGCTGAGGGGTGAAATGAGAACACCAAAAGGATTTCTCAAAGCTAGATCTTTACCGACTTTGAATCTCCTGGAAAATATTCAAGCATATCATGGTTATTTCACTAATGCAAAACGAGGAAAATGCCAGCCGCTCTGGAATTCCTTTGGTGTGAGGAAGGAGATGATCAAAGGCAGGGTGACGTGCACAGGCCCCTGGATAAAACCGGTGTAATTAAGGTAGATTCCCATTCAGGGGAAAAATGACTTCCAGGCCATTAATTTGGCTTTGACTTTCAACCGGACACTTGCCTGGTTGCGATCAAGATGGAAATACGAACTTTGGGGCCCTCTCAAACCAATCTTCACCCTCTCAGCTTCACTCCCAAAGACCTGCTAAAGAGTCTGAATACTTCCACAACCTTCGTGGTGAATTGGAAGAATTTAGGTCCTCCGTCCTCCAGTCCCCATCTTTCTCCCCCCTAAAACTCAGCCGGCGGGGCGGGGCGGGGATGGTGGTGGGATAGGAGGCTGGGGTAAAGAGAGGTTTCAGTCGAGGAACGGGAGGCAACTGGCCGAGGATACAGTGAGGGGCGAAGCAGGGCTGAGGACCCGGGGGGGGGGGGGGGGGGGGGACTAATGACTCGAGGCGCAGGGCAAGGCCGAAGCATCGGGTGATACAGCCCCGGGGGTGCAGGGCGACGCGGGTTCAGGTGAGGGTTCACCCGCATTCAGCACGGTCTCGATGCTTTGAGGTCTGGTCGCCAGTTCTGCCACCATCCACACGAGCTGGGTTCGGGTTTCCTGATACTGCTCGAGCACTGCAAGGAGAGACACGTTAGAGCGGGCCTCCCTGTCGTCCCCTGGCTCCCGCTGCCAGCCGTCGGGGCGCCCGCACCAGCCCTTACTTTGCAGCACCTCCCTCTGATTGATTGTGCCCGCAACTTCCCACCGGCCGCAGACTGCGGGGCGACTCGCGGGGCTGCGCCTGGCCTGCTAGTCCGCGGAGGAGAGGGGCGACTGAGGCGGGTCCTCTCTGTGTACCCGCGTCTGCCCGACCAAAACCGGAACGCGGCCGTTGAACTTCAACACCCAGTCTGGGGAGTGATGTCCTGGCCGCGGGTCCCCGCACACCCGAAGGCCGCCAGCCTCCGGGGAACTTCGCCTACAGCACCCCCCAACCCCACCCCGCGACGTGCCAAACGCACCCAGCCGCCGCAGGAGTCGTGCACCGTCGAGCGTCACTACCCTGATGGGTAGGGCGTCCGCGGGGAGCACAGGTTCTTTACATACCGACCTCAGATCTGCGGAGCTGCCTGGCTGCACGAGATTCATCCCAGCCGGGAGCCCCGTGTGCCCAGAAAACCCAGTGCAAGTGCAGTGAGACAAAGAAACTGGGCAATGGAGTCGTCTTGGCTTCCACAGTCGAAATAAATTTCACGTCACATTGTATACTTTGATAAATACATTATTGTCAATGCAATCTTGAAGTCAAATGCTTTTCCCTTTAGTCCAGCTTTTATATACCTGGCATTTCGGATTTCAGAATTCCTTGGTGGGTAAACAATGTTCATACACTGAATTATATTATATTGAAAGCATTAGTAATTACTCCCAGATATTCAGCGAGAAAGACATACAATGAAACAATGTGATAGATGTCCTTTCTTTTGTGACTCTCTCCTCCTCCTACCTATGTTGTTTCTTCACTTTTGTGTAATTTTTAAACATTTTCACTTTTTAAAATTTAGGCTTTATTTTGTTGCTGAATGACATTCCCCCCCCCCCAAAAAAAGGGGGTGAGGGATCTTTACCTGGAAAGTCTTCATTCAAATATCTTAATCAGACTTCCCTAGTGTATATAACTTTAACTCTTTACCTAGTCTCTTTTAACAAAAATTAGGTACTTAGTCTATAACTGGTTTCTAGCTTCTCTAAAAACTGTATACCAAATGTTCCAATCACAGGTGTCAACTTAAAATGTTTCTCCATCAGAAACTACAATTTCACCAGATGTCAAATAAGCAGATAGCCACAGCTCCTGAGTAGTGCAAAGATAGATCTCTTGATATGTCTTCTTCAATAGAAGGGAGCATGCAAACTTAGCTGGTTCTTATATTTGGGGTGAGTCCTATCAAATAATCTTGGAGATCTCATTCTGACTTGAGTTCTCTGGTGAAGTCCTCATATTTTGTGGAGCTCTAAATAATTGGGAATGAACCTACAATCAGAGAGGGAAGTAAGTGTTTTCAGTAAGGCAGGTGTCTGTCTTTCACTCCGAAATTCAGAAGCCAATGACACCCACCATCCCTTTATTTAACTCTTAGGCATATGTTTCACAATGATCTCCACACTTCCCTAAGGAAACAGATCCTTTAAAATTAAAGTTGCTGTGTGTTTCCATTTTGAGATGCGGGGAGGGGGGGGGGGCACAGATTGAGCAAATAATTTAAAATACAAATAAACTTGCATTGTAATTTTGTTTTCAGTTCCTTGTTGCATTATGAAAAAAAAATTCCCTTAAAACTAAAAGGTGCCATAATTGGTTTCAGTCCTTAAACAATCAAACTATTAGGCTAGTACATATGCCATTTTTAGTGATTGTATCTTCTTTTCTTTTTTTTTTTTTACTATGTATTTTCTACTGTAAAAGTATTGAGATAAGAGCTAAGTGGTGGGAAAGCTGTAAAACTATAAACATAAGTCTATTTATGGAATGCTACAAAGTTTGAAAACTTTAATTCAAGTGGTATCTAATATATTTTTAACTATAGATTCTGACAGTTTGTCATTAACAATGTCTATGGATTAAACTGAGAAAACAATATAAGATTCCTACTTTATATCCGAAATTGGAGATACTAAAGAAGCTAGATCCTTTCTCCTTAATTCTAGCTTTCTTTTTTAGAAGTCTTTAAAATTAAATGGATAAATATAACATGAAATGATCATAATATACATATAAATAAATTATTAGTAATTCAAATATAAAATATGGCAACAGATTACTTTTACTGACATGAAAGTCAATTTATATTTTTTGACCCACTTTTCAACTTTCTAACTTTAAAATAAACTACCATTCTGTTTTTACAAAGTTAATTGAATGCCCAATGATCACATGTACACGTTTAACAAACAGTTAAGCAGTGAGAAAGAAAACTATTTAAAGGAATAGTTCAGGTTTTAAAAAAAGAAAAATGTTATTTAAGATAACTTAAAGTTCTTAAAGTACCAGCTGACTTTAAATACAGATATGCAATGTACTTGACACATTAAACTATACATTTAATTGAAAATAAAATATTATCTGAACAACTTGCAAAAATGTTTCTATGAAAGATTTGTTTGGAAGACTGGCTCTTTTGTAAAAAACGAATCTTATCTAACTTCAAAATCATCTTTGCATTCCTCTATGCAAATGAGACTCAAAAAGATGACAGTATAAAGCCAGTTGAAAAATCCTGTTCTATTTCTCTTTAAAAATTTGCTTTGGAAATTCAGAAAATCCCATTATCATGGGAATATATTCTAAACAAGCCTAGAAGAAATTTTGTTAATTTTAACATGTATGTTTTCTTCAGCTCCTAGCTGAATTTTAAAATTAAAGTTTTATATATGTTAATTAGATATTAACATCCACATTTTAAAAACTGCTGTTGTATATTCATATGTGCTAGACACTGCTAATAACAGAATGTGCCTTCTAGAACATGAAATCTAGTGGGAGACAGACATGTAAACAAAGTATTAATTCATTCAACAAGTATATACTGCAGCTTGCCCTGTTTTAGGGGTGTAATTTCTCTAAGCACTGTAAGTGCTTTGGGAGCAAGGAGGAGGGACATAGGATAACCTAGGTGAATAGGTGAGGTTATCTAAAACATCACTTAAATAATAAAAGACTTCTTGTTTTTTTTTAAAAAAAAAAAAATTAGCTGTTTTATCTAGATATGAAATCTCCTTCCCTCCTCCCACAAATAATTAAAACAGTGTTAGCATTTAAATAGGCATTCATTTGGCTATTGCATTTAATTCAAATTATGAGAAAATGTAATCATTTTGCCAACACCAAATCTAAAATGACTGAAATAGCTCTTTATTTAAATACTTAAGTTAAAAATAAAGGATTACATACTCCATAACTAAGTGGATTCAAAATATTATCTATAATGAAAAAAGCAAACATACTGCATCTTAAATGTTACACTACCACTCTTTGTTTTGGGGGAAAGGGGGACGTCAGGATTTTACCCTTAGGTCTGAGCAGACCAACTAATTCTGCCATCAAGTTTGTCAGTAGGGCAGAAGACTCTTGAACACTTCGGTCCTGGAGGGGAAGACTGACATTTCTATGCTTGTGTCTTATTTCCCATTCTTTGCTTTTCAAGCCTTTCAAGTCATTTCTTTACATTTTAAACTTTATAAAGTTTTTACGTTTCTTTTAGTGTTAAGGTCAAAGAAATGTTATGATGACAGTGATTTGGCTGACCCCAAAGTTCTAAAGATACACCTGTATCTTTCCTACTAATCCAGTGGATGCAGAGATTTTTGCCACTCCCAAAGTAAACCGTCATTGGGAGAATTACACATAAGAATAATTTCATCTCCAAAGACACCATACAGCACAAAGTGACTGATACTAAAATTTGATGATTCCAACATAGAAGTCTGAAATACAGCATAACATTTTCTAAGACAATGGGGCATGCATAAAAGTCAAATTATTGCTGCTGGGGTGTGTGTGTTGTGTGATGTGGGAATATCAACCTTCTCAAAACTTCTGTGTGTGTTCTTTCAAAATTGTGCCCAAACTCCACATCACCAGATAGAAAACTCTAAAAGCCCTACCAAAAAGTCTGTCAGTCACTCCCTTTCATCGCCACCCAGGCCCATCACCCCTTTAAAATCTTGGTGGTATTGGACTTTTCTCGGAGAAGGTAGATACTATTCCTTCTCCACCTTTTTATTAGTGCTGGACACAAGAGACAAAGATGAAAGGTGCCACAGAGGAAACCGACCCCTGGAGCCCACCAAGCCCGCATCCGAACCATGACACGAGCTACCGTCTAGGAGGTCGCGGCCAGCGCATGCCTTAGGTGCGGATTCTGCCATCCCTGAGCCATAGGTTCTCAGCCAACGCCGCAAACCTGGACACTTGAGGGTCCCTGCGCGGCATGGGCGCAGGGTTCCGGGTTCCAGGGCGCTGGCCCTCACAGACACCTGCGTTCAGTGTTAGCAAGGGTGCTGGGGCTGGAGTGGAAGGTAAGGATGTAGACCTCCCTGACCTCCAAGGCTTTTCCTTTATTCCGAAGTTTCTAGAACCCCAGGAGCACCTCTGCGCTCTCCGCGCACTTTCTAATGGGGCTAGGGTCAGGCAATCACGAGGGTTAGAACCCCGCGAGGCCTGCGCGGCGAGTTGCTGGGCCAGGCCGAAAGAGGGGAGCGAGTGCAGGGCGCGGGGAGCGCGGACGGGAAGAAGGGGCGGGGGCGCGCGGCTCCAGGGCGCGAGTGCGGAAGAGCAGCGCAAGCTCGGCCGGGCGCCTCCCTCCCGCGGGTCCTCCCCGGAGGCCTGCGGCGAGGGCGAGGGCGAGGGCGAGGGCCAGGGCCTGGGCGAGGGCGAGGGCGGGGGCGGGGGAAGTCCCTCTCTCCAGCTTTCTCGCTGCTCGCGGGCCGCTGGCCTGGGGATCGGGAGGAGAGGGGCCGTGGGTCCCGCGGACCCGGCTTCAGCCGGGCGGAGGGATAGACGAAGAAGGCCTCAGTTCTTTCGCTTTGCTTCACGGCCAACCTCCTGCGGTAACCGCACTCTGCGCGGGCTTCCGCGGAGATGTCCCGGCCCGAGCCTGCCCGCGGCGCGGCTGACCCATGGGCCCGGGGGTGGTGCGGCCGACCCAGAGGAGAGCCTGGAGCGAGCGGAGACCGGAACTCGGGAGCCGAGGCCCCGAAGAGCTGGCGCAGCCAGAAAAGCTCGCCACGGCCGCTTGGGTCGGCCTTGCTTCCCTCTGACTTTCTGCCCTCGGGACTTATAAAGAAAGCCCTGTTGGGGGGGCGGGGAAGGGTGTGGGGACTCCAGACTCTCTTTGCCCCGAATGGGGTTGGGAACCCTGTACCACCTTACATTAGTCAGCTCCGTAGACTTCGCGCGCAGGCGAAATCCCAGAGGCGGGGTAAAGAGCCAAAAGCTTACTTAAAAAAAATAAAAGTAAAAAAAAAAAAAAGCTGCACCTCACTGCGCATGTGCGGGCCTCGATTTTTTTGACGTCATTTCGCTTTATCAAGTCTCATGCCAAAAACTTACTGCTCATTGATTACGCTGAAGAACAATTGACTGTATG